ATAACGTACCAGCACCAGGCACTACGCACCAGGCCATGGGAGTAACGGAGTAAACAGGACAAAGTGGTGGCAGATGGGCAGGCAGCCAGATGAACAAAAACAAAAGCAACAGTTACAGCAAAAAAAAGCGGGATCAAGGTACGTAACACAGTCTAGAGAAGGCAGGGAGGACATGAAAACAAAAAGAAACACAGCACAGAGGCCGAAGGCTATACAAATGACATACATACATCAAGGAGTATCGCATACAGCAGGGAGGGAAACAGGGCCAACCAACATCAGCCGGGTACCCCCCGGTGGTCAAGTGGGAAACCTCGCAGCCTGCTAAGGGCCAGGTCATGGGTTCAAGTCCTGACAGAGTGAGTTTTTTCTCACGAAATAAATCCTGGTCTAGGATGAAGAAAGCGACGCGCTGCAAAGCTCGTTGTTAGTAAACCGTAATCGACTTCGTAAGTCGCGAGGGAAGGGATTGCTGTACCCTTTTCGCGATAAAAGTACCTCAGGCAGGAACCGCAGGAGGGGGTCCAGCCCCCCCCTCCTACTTGACCCCGGTTGGGTCGTCTAGCTAGAAGAAGTGGAGGATAGGGGCCAGAGGCGCCGACGACAGAATCCGATGATGGGAGCAAAAAATAAATAAATAACACTAGTTCGCCACGAGTGCTGCGTCGGCCGCCCTACTCGCTTCTACAGCAATGCCCGGTCGCCGCTTCTTCCCCCCCACCGCCGCTTCCCCGACTCTGTTCTCTTCGGGCCTGAGGTGACCGTACTCTCTACTTCTGCTTCCCTCGCGCGCTGGCGCTTCGGGCGCTTCCGCCTCCTGCCTGTGCCATTTCCTCATGAGCCATGCCGCCCCGTCCTCGACCTGTTGCACCACACCTCCGGGTCCTTGGCGCTCTCTTTCCAATTCCCCCCTTCCTTTTCGTCTCCCATGTTGAAGGCCACGAGGTCCCCTCCTAGACCAGACATCCAGTCGTTCTTCTGCCCGCCCCAGTATCCCACGCCCCCCGCCATAGCTCCTAACAGCGTGCGCTTGGAGTGTGCGGGTCGCCTTTATTTGAGGTGCGGGCCGCATTCATGATGATGAATACCACCCCCCTCTCTGTGTCAAACGACGCCCCCGCAACTCATGGCGCCGCCTTAACTGGGTCTCCCACACGGTCTACCGTGGTAAATGATCCATGGGTCACCCATGGTTGACCCATGCGCATGCTCATGGGCATGCCCACGGGCATGGCCATGGGCTCCATGGGCAGCCCATATGGGCTGCTCATGGGCATGTCCATGGGTAGCTCGTGGGCAGCCCATGGACGGCCCATGGGCGATCCATGAGCCGCCGCCCTTCGTGGGCAGCCCATGGGCAGCGCAACATGAGCAACCCATCGTGGACAACTCATGGGCAGCCCACCATGGGCGGGTGATGGGCAGCCAACCGTGGGCAGCCCACCATGGGCAGTGTTAAGATGTACAGCATATCCACTATGCTTCAAGTCAGCGCTGACTTGAAGCAAGACTCATAGTCTAGAGTGGATATGTGGTACATCTTGAGCAAAAGTAGCAGCCAACGGTGTTTTTTTTATTCCACAGAGCCCATGGGCAGCCTTTGGTGGGCAGCCCATCGAGGGCAACCCATGGCCACCACCCATGATGGGCTGCCCACACAGACAGTTGCCCAAGGGTCACTTTGCTACAAGTCAGCGCTGACTTGTAGCTTAGACTAGTGGACATGCTACACCTTAACAATAGTAGCAGCCAACGGTGTCGTTTTATCGGTAATGCTAAATACGACACCGGCGTCGTAAATCCTTAACGACGACACCATCCGGATCTCAGCTCAGAGGGGTCCAAATGGCGTCAGACTAGGTTTGTTGGAACGCCACGGCTCTTAGCGATCACGCAAGCTTTGTTTCAACTCCAGGGACCACGCGGTTGGGAAGATATCATCGAGAAACGGGGTTCCGCAGCATCACGGCCTGGGTCCCTAAAAGTTGGCTGCCATTTCTCAGCCCACAGGCTTCCAATGAGGGTCAACTTATGTTCGTTGCAAAGCCACGGTCCTAAGCTATCACACAAGCTATGTTTCAACCCAACCGGCTACGTGGATGCGGAGGAATTCTTGAAACTGGGGTTCCGCAGCATCATAGGCAGGGTCCCCTCACGTATCCGATCATATCTTAGCCAGCAGAGCTCTAAAAAACGTCCACGTATTTTCGTTAGAATACCATCGCCCGTAGCTATCACTCAAGCTCTTGTTCAGCTCAATCCGCTACGTGGTTGCGGAGATATCGTCGGAAATACCCCCTTCCTTTTCGTCTCCCATGTTGAAGGCCACGAGGTCCCCTCCTAGACCAGACATCCAGTCGTTCTTCTGCCCGCCCCAGTATCCCACGCCCCCCGCCATAGCTCCTAACAGCGTGCGCTTGGAGTGTGCGGGTCGCCTTTATTTGAGGTGCGGGCCGCATTCATGATGATGAATACCACCCCCCTCTCTGTGTCAAACGACGCCCCCGCAACTCATGGCGCCGCCTTAACTGGGTCTCCCACACGGTCTACCGTGGTAAATGATCCATGGGTCACCCATGGTTGACCCATGCGCATGCTCATGGGCATGCCCACGGGCATGGCCATGGGCTCCATGGGCAGCCCATATGGGCTGCTCATGGGCATGTCCATGGGTAGCTCGTGGGCAGCCCATGGACGGCCCATGGGCGATCCATGAGCCGCCGCCCTTCGTGGGCAGCCCATGGGCAGCGCAACATGAGCAACCCATCGTGGACAACTCATGGGCAGCCCACCATGGGCGGGTGATGGGCAGCCAACCGTGGGCAGCCCACCATGGGCAGTGTTAAGATGTACAGCATATCCACTATGCTTCAAGTCAGCGCTGACTTGAAGCAAGACTCATAGTCTAGAGTGGATATGTGGTACATCTTGAGCAAAAGTAGCAGCCAACGGTGTTTTTTTTATTCCACAGAGCCCATGGGCAGCCTTTGGTGGGCAGCCCATCGAGGGCAACCCATGGCCACCACCCATGATGGGCTGCCCACACAGACAGTTGCCCAAGGGTCACTTTGCTACAAGTCAGCGCTGACTTGTAGCTTAGACTAGTGGACATGCTACACCTTAACAATAGTAGCAGCCAACGGTGTCGTTTTATCGGTAATGCTAAATACGACACCGGCGTCGTAAATCCTTAACGACGACACCATCCGGATCTCAGCTCAGAGGGGTCCAAATGGCGTCAGACTAGGTTTGTTGGAACGCCACGGCTCTTAGCGATCACGCAAGCTTTGTTTCAACTCCAGGGACCACGCGGTTGGGAAGATATCATCGAGAAACGGGGTTCCGCAGCATCACGGCCTGGGTCCCTAAAAGTTGGCTGCCATTTCTCAGCCCACAGGCTTCCAATGAGGGTCAACTTATGTTCGTTGCAAAGCCACGGTCCTAAGCTATCACACAAGCTATGTTTCAACCCAACCGGCTACGTGGATGCGGAGGAATTCTTGAAACTGGGGTTCCGCAGCATCATAGGCAGGGTCCCCTCACGTATCCGATCATATCTTAGCCAGCAGAGCTCTAAAAAACGTCCACGTATTTTCGTTAGAATACCATCGCCCGTAGCTATCACTCAAGCTCTTGTTCAGCTCAATCCGCTACGTGGTTGCGGAGATATCGTCGGAAATCGGGTTCCGCAGCATCACGGGGAGGGTCCCCTCAGGTATCAGGCCATATCTCAGCCCACAGGGCTTCAATCGTCGTAAAGGTGACTTCGTTATGTAGCCACGGCCCGCAGCGATCGCGCAAGTACTTTGACATCTCATTCGACTCGGTGGTTCTGGAGTTACACACTCAGGAAGAGGCACAGGAGTATCGTGAGCTTGGTATTAAGCTCCAAACGTGGTCTACGTCGACCCAATGAGCGCACAGCAGCCCAGAACTACTCACGCTACTTTGTCACGACCCGCAGCTATCGTTAGAGCCGTCGATGACCTCAATCGGACTTGTGTCAGCCGAGATATGCTTACCCACGGGTGAGCGGTGGTGCCGCAGGGTGGTGTCGTAGATAAGGTAAACTACGATGTCACCCGCATCTCGGCGCACAGAGCGTGAATCAACGTAAAACCGACTCGAATGGGTTCACACCATCCTCAGCTATCGTGCAAGCCGTTACTTGGCTAGATCAGCCCGGTGGTTGCGGGGATACGATCACCCACTGGGGTCCGGCCGCCCCGAGAGTGGTGTCTTAGTTAAGCGCTTAACTACGACACCACTCATTTCTTCGACCAAAGGCCACGACTCGACGCCAAACCATTTGCGCTGTGTTGTTAGAGGTAGCGGGCGTCGCTGGAGTCGGTGGCGGGTGAGTTTCATCCGGTGGGTTAGGTGGAACGCCTACATCCGAGGGCCACGGCGCCCCGGGGAATGGTATCGTAGATGAGATTAGATACGACACTACCCGCATCTCAGCGCACAGAGTTTCAATGACAGTAAAACCGAGCTTATCGGAACTCCACGATCTTCAGCTATCACGTAAGCTGCTACTCGACTGCATCGGCCCGGTGGCTGCGGAGATACCGTCACCCGCAGGAGTCCGGCCGCCCCGAGAGTGTTATCTACGACACCACTCATTCCTTCAGCCAATGGCGACGAATCGACATCAAACTATGTGTGCTGTGGTCCACGGCGCCCCCACGTGCCATGTCGACGCACGAGCTATTCTCCGATGGGCGTCTAGGAGGAATGTACATGTCCGATGTATATGTACGAGTCCCTAGAACAGGCACATGGGCGATATGGGTGAAGAGGGGAGCGGGGGGTTGCCCTGGTCAGTCTCGAGACGGTATTCGGCGTGCACGTGGCTCCACCCCGCCAAAACGTCATACATTGATAGGTTTAGTTGAGGGCTAAAGAGAGAGTGGATGTCACGGTGTTGCTACCGACGGCACAGAGGAAGGTCGCGTCGCGTTGCCGGCCTACAAAATGGACACCCCAACGACCAGGCTTTGGAGAGGATGTTGACAGATATTGCGTGCAAGACTAACATTGTCTTCAACGCTAGCGACCAGTTACGACACTCGGTTAGCTGCGCCTTCATAACGTAGGGAAACAAACGCCCCAACATAATCACGGCCCAGCGAAAAAAAATAGCCAAAGACAGAAAGTTAAACGGAAAAACGCGCAGACAGATAAGGCCAGATAGCACGCATAGCGCGTACTTTGTCGTGTGCAATTCCAAACATCAGGCTCAGCCTGCATTGCCCGCTAGTATCTGTGCAGCGTTAGCACGCACGAGATGATATGGACTGGCAACGCCGGGAACGAGATGGCAAGGGCGGCACACGATTCGAACTATCTACGTGTCGCGGCCGTTGATTTGTTACTAGGGACTACGTGTTGTAAGCTACGACGTTTTCTCTTTGGTAGGCCGACGGGTCGTTGCTCCAGACCCAGCACCAGACCTCTTTGATCCTCTTTTCCCTCCGACTCTTGTCCCTCCGCCCTTCCGGGTTACCGACTGGTTGAACAGACCCGCTGTCGGCAGGCGCACCGTTGTCATCGTGTCGGTCCTGCTTTGATCCCTCCGACTTGGATTTCTTAGGCCTCCCTTTCGCTTTTACCTGCGCTGAATTACCGCTCTTGTTCTCGCCGGTAGCTTCGGCAAGCTGGAACCTCACCCACTTGTCCAGTTCAGCCTGTATCTCCAAGGCTTTGGCGTGTGGAACCGTCCTCATTATTTCGGTGACGCTTTCCTTGTTCTTGGCCATCAGAGTCGCGAACACGCGGCTGCTTTTGCCGCACGTTCTGCGGGGTGCACGCCGCCCTCCCGGCCGTCATCTTCGTACGTCGGCCCCCAGAAGTTGTCGTCTTGTCCGTGGTCACATCCATCCCAGCCGTCGCCGTGCCCTGCCCCTTCCAACACTCTGGAGATGGTCCAGGGCGCGTCGCTTCCGTCTGGTGACTACCACCAGCGTGTGTGCACGCTGTTGCCGTCGAACTCGTGGTTAAGCAGGACTCCCCCGTACTTGGCGCCGATGAAGCGAACTAGCACGGCAAAGTAGTCTAGTGCCTGCATGGTAGGCCTTGGCGCAAAAACTTTAGACAAGAGCACAAGTAGAAGCCACCCGGGCCGAATACCACAACATGGCCCGGCCGTGAAGGCGTGAGCTTGTACCGCACGGCGGCGGCAAGATGGACGGGAACTCGGCTGACGAGGTCCAACAGCGGCTCCAAAGACGTACGCGCCCAAACGGTGTTGTCTTCGGTCGATTCAGCCTCAGGGCCAAGCTTGCAGTCTATTTCCAGGTTCGTGTCGGGCGGCGCTTCCTCGCAAAGGTTGAAGTCGAAGTGTGCGGCCTCAAGCTGTTAAGGCAGGATACCACACTCCAGAGGCACGGGGTGGCCTTGGTCGTCCGCCGCTCCTACGCAGATGACTTCTGCGTCGTACGACTGGGATCCTCCGAGCTCGTCCTTAGCCTCCTGCAGCGTGCAGTGGACAGGGGCGCACTGTGATGTGGTAAGGTTGCTTCCCCGGGAAAACAGTACCGTACGCACCAGGAAGGGGTTCCAAACGGGTAGATGTATCGACTGCGCACATGTTACTGTCTTGCGCACGGGGAAACGTGGATGTTCAACTTACAGACGGCAGGGATAAGAAGGAAAAGGAAACCGGAAAACTCTCCGAACTTCTCACCAGTTGGCAGTATTGGCTGGCGCCAACACTTTCGAGCTCCTCCCGGATCGGGGAGAGAAACCCCTCCAAGTGCTTCGTCTGAAAGCCAACTCCGCTTGCACGGCTGGGCTTGCAACCCTGGACGAACGAGGTCAACCGGATTGTCCGCAAGTGAATTGCTCTCCTGTGAGCTTCCGCTTCGGAAGGAAGCTGAAGGCGTGCTATGGCAAACTCTCGTCAGAGCTCACGTTCGAGGAGGCTTCAACTGAGGACTTGATCTTTGACATTTACTTTCGCCGAGGATGTCACCGAGGCGAACAACGCGCACCGACGTGCACCGTCGCACAATGACGTAGTAAAAGCGGAGTTCACACCTCTACAGGTCCGGGTTCAGTTCATCTCATCTGCCGTGCTCAATGTCCATTGTCTGGTACACATGTTGGAGGCGGTCCCACCGAGCGCACAGAGACAGCTTCTTGTGTATCCCGGGCTTTTTCGCCACCCCGAACATGCCCTCGGTGCGCTGCGTGGCAACAATGCCCAGCGTGAGCGCTGTCGGCCGGCAGGAGAAGGCCCACTTCGTCTTCTCCCTTCACAGCACCAGCACGAGATCAACATTTTCCGACGAAAAGACTGAGCATAGAAAACGTCTGTGGCTACCTCTGCTACGGAGCAGGTGCAGCAATTTCGCCTGCTGTTACGCAGCATGACTCGCGCGCTTGATTTTATATACGGCACCATTACTTACTCGAGAAGGTCCCGGATGTACTGGTCGCACTTCTTGCCCCCGACGGTCCTCTCCAGGTCAGCCCGGTACTTAGCGAAGATCTGCAACGAACGTACGATCGAGGTGGCCGAGGTTAAATCACCCACTCATGTAGTCGGGGCAGAGGCGGCAATGCAGAACATGAAGGGCGCAAGAAAATAAGCAACTGCAGCCCACACTAATCTCACCTCCGGCGTAGCGGCGTGTGCAGCGTTTCTGAATAGACGGAGCATCTTCTCCCGTGTCTTCGTGTCAGAAAAGGACGAGGAACAGTGCTTGACGACGCTCTTGTTAAGATGCCACAAGCACCGCAGGTGCACGGTGGTCTTCCACTCCCTCAAGGCCGAGGCCATGGCCTGGTCTGTGTCGGTCAGCATGACCTATACGAATCCGGCACGAAAGAAGAGACGAAGGCACACACGCCCCCACAACATTACTTCATTGGCATATCGTGTAGGGGAAGTACTAAGTCGGCGTAGCCACCAGGAGGTGCGAATGGATGACATGTGATACGCGTTGTCGCCGGAGCTGGCAACTGTGCATGTCAAACATCCGTCCACGCCCACCATGGACAGCTCTAGGCTCCAACCGTCTACAGGGTTCGGGTTGGTTAGTACACCTTTGGCCTCCGTCCACCAGCAGCTTTCTCGTACGAGTCCACGAACCACTTGAAGCTTTCGGTGCTTTCCGACCGCAGCATGCCCTGTCCCAAGACGCACGTGCGGTTTTCGTCGTCCACGCCCACTATGAACAGGAGTGGGCACCCGTGCCTGCAGATACCGAACGAAGATAAAAGGTGTGGCGTGCGCACGCGGGAGGCGGGTCGTAGGTAAGGACAACCGAAGCTCAACAGACAGAGGGCAACTCGAAACGACAGCAACGAGGTCGGTTGAAACGGAGCAGATCGTACATCAGCAGTCACGCCGTCGGAGGTACCTGTTGGTGAACACCGTAGTTTCCATCTGGATACAGCCGCCGAACGTCGCCATCTTGTCCTGTTGGTCGACGGTGGCCCAGAACACATCAACGATCCTCCCTAGGCTGTCGAAAGTGCGCTTGACGAACATCCCGGGCTCAGCTTCCAACTTCGCAACGAATTGGCGCCATCCTCAGGCGTGGAGTACAACTCGTTTTGAATCTTGTTTACGGCGTTATCCACCTTGGAGGGTTCGGAAAACGTTCGGAATGTGCACGAAGTCCGCCAATTATCAACGCACATTTAACACCCACGTCGTAATGTAACAGTATAGCTTAGGTTCGGTTTCGCGCGATTTTTGTGATCGGGGGCGATTCTACCTGTCAAACATACACACCCCATGATCGCCAAGCACGTCTACGACATTTGCTCGCCCTCGAACCCCCCACCCCCCCCACCCCCCCTTCCCCATTCGGGCTTTGGACGACTGCAGCAACGGCCCGTGCACAGCGCCCGCCAGCAAAGCTCGTTCTAATCTATTATACCTTTTTCTTCCCATCTTTCGCCAAGCACAAACCGTCGTAGTCCATTTCCAGCAGTTTGAACGTGTCCGTGGGCTTGACGCCAGCCGCTGTCCACTTGCGGACGTCATCGAATCTCTCGTCGACCATTGTGGGCGGCAGGACTTTAACCTGGGCTCTTGAAACGCTCTCCCGGGGATTGTGGTCGTGCTTGCAGAAGGACTAGCGCGCACGATCAGATCAAAAATGAATGTTAAACGCACAAGAACCGCCCAAAAAAACGGCAAAAAAGGCACCGGGAAAGTCAAGGACGGCAACAACGCCCGTCGGAACAGGGAAACCGGGAATTCCTGACGGCAGCGACGAGGCTTGTCATCATCACGCACGGCTCAAGTAGATATTTCGTGTGGTCTGAGGGTTGGTATTTGGATGCGCAGAGAGGCACTCGCTTGGCATGCACACGAGCATGTCGAACGAACGACGGTCACATCAAGAGAAAATCAGAAAGTACGGCGAAAGATTTTCTCGTTGGAGTACAAAAACATGGAGTACCAGATGACTACACCACAAAAAACGAAACGAAACGAACGAACGACAATGAAAGAATGATAAAAAAACGGCGACGATTTCCCAAAGAAGAAAACACGTCGACCACGAAGACAGGTACCCCATATAGGTCAGCCGTTACAGCGGCAGCAAATAAGGGCGAGGTACGACACTAGTACATAGGATACCCCGAGTTCCCATCCTCACCGACGTTATGGTGGGATTAGTCGCCCCAACTCGCCACGTCATGTAGACCTTGAAAGGGCACTTGATCTGCACCACGAACAGTCACAGGACATGCGTCGCAAGAGATGTGGGTATCCCGCGACGCGTGTTGAAAGGGGGCCGACGCACTCTCCCGCGAAAATCTCGCAGCGAACTCCGGCTCTGAACATCAACAGCCTCAGACTAAGTTACGCACCATGTTACCCTTCCGCATCCTCTTCTGCTTCCCCACTTGGGGCGCACGCCTACGTGCCACCCCCGAGTGTTTGCAGACGATTTCGCGGAGGTAGTGCCTGCTCTTGTCGGTCGTCTGCGAACACATTGGCCGGAAGGCAAAACAAATTCATTGGGAACGCATTGGGAAACGTAGGTTGAAACGCGAATGATTCCACCAGTTCGTTTCACAGTGAAGGCGTGACATCGTGGCTTTCCTAGGCTATACAATGAACCGCCGTGCAATCGAAACACCAGATTTGTTCAACTCACCGATTTGCGCCTCTTCTTTGGAAGGGTTAGGTGCCCTTCTTCTTCGAGCTCCCCGATGACCGTGGCGAATGCGGCCTCCCACGTGTCGTAGGCTGACTCGTTCACGTCGAATGTGCGGCCAAGGTGCACAATTCCTCCGCCATCTACGTCCCCCCACAGCCCAGTTTCCTCGTCCGGGTCTTCGTCCGTTTCACTATCCGCCCCTTTGCCCTTGCTCTTACCGCTGGCACATTCCTGCTCCTGCATACACCACGCATCAATGGGCCGCGAGATTGCACAGTCCAATCACTAGCTCAGACGAAGCTCAGAGACCTCAAGCCGACCAAATACGTTGTCGGGACTGGTATTGCCTAGGGGGGGAGCGACGAAGAGAAGAAGTCTTGGGCTTGCAATACAACACGAAAATTCGAAACTCTAATCGACACCGTGTACAATCGCCGTTGTAAAATAGCCAAAGAGAGGAGGACCGTCTACACACACAACACAAACAGGTATCGGGCACATCAATAAGTACATGCCTATGTCAGATATCGTGCTGGTGTCCTCCTTGTAGGAAAATACACAAGCGTCTACGCAGCACGTTCGTCCGATATTTCGTTATATTAATTATCCTTTGTCGTTCACTCCCAATATTGACTTCTGTCGTCAGCCCCACTGGCCCCCATCCTCCACTACGACAACCTAGACGACCCAACCCGGGTCACACAGGATGGGGGTGGGGGGGGGTTCCCCCCCCTGCGGTTAGGGTGGATTCGCAAGCTGCGAGCGCTCCGATTTATGCCGTTTGTGATACTCGATGAAGCCGTTACCACTTACGTAACGGGGGGGCACTGATGAACCTTCCACTCACCCTCCCCTCTCGAGCGAGTTCCANGAGGAGGACCGTCTACACACACAACACAAACAGGTATCGGGCACATCAATAAGTACATGCCTATGTCAGATATCGTGCTGGTGTCCTCCTTGTAGGAAAATACACAAGCGTCTACGCAGCACGTTCGTCCGATATTTCGTTATATTAATTATCCTTTGTCGTTCACTCCCAATATTGACTTCTGTCGTCAGCCCCACTGGCCCCCATCCTCCACTACGACAACCTAGACGACCCAACCCGGGTCACACAGGATGGGGGTGGGGGGGGGTTCCCCCCCCTGCGGTTAGGGTGGATTCGCAAGCTGCGAGCGCTCCGATTTATGCCGTTTGTGATACTCGATGAAGCCGTTACCACTTACGTAACGGGGGGGCACTGATGAACCTTCCACTCACCCTCCCCTCTCGAGCGAGTTCCAGCCGCTGAAACCCATGAGATTTCCTTCGTAGTTGACGGATCTCCATATCCGTTGCCCCGCCGCAGTCCCCTGCCGGCGTACCCGTTGAAAGCCCGTCCTTGGTCGCCTGCCGTTTGCCCCCCTCGGACACGTCGTCTCAACCCTTGCTGGTTCCTCCACGCGGCTCCTCTGGGCCGCATGTTCCACCGTTCCTGCCCTTCTCGTGGTCCATGGTGTCTTGTCCATGTCCAGTGCCATCTCCACCACCCCCACTTTGTTGGCTTCCACCCGTTTCGCCAGGCTTGTGCTTGTCGCGGTCGCTGCCGGCTAGCTTGCGCCCACTACCCACTCCAGAACCCCCACCTTCTCCATTCTTCCCGCCGTCAGCCGCCCCCTGCTGTTGCTTCTGCCTTCGGGAGCGCGCCTCGGCCTCAGACGCCTCTTCCCTCCGCTTCCGCTCCACGGACTCTTCGTCCTGAGGATGATTGTGAGCATGGCACGAACATGACCACGCACGCGAGTGAATGGAGACTCCACTTGCATTCTTAGTGGCCACGAATTCCTCGCTTTGTGCTTCTTCCAACGTTCAAACGGTAGGATGGTTGTCATCGGGAGTTCTGTTTGGACAAACAAACGCTCCAAGTCTCCTCGATCGGTGGCATGAAGCCGTGCTGTTCATGGTATTTATGCATAGCTACAGCACTAGACGCCACACGACAAAGCCCGCAACCAAGCTTAGCCGCCAGAAAACTAGGCCAAGGCTTGGCAATTGTGGAGAAATAGATTCGATCACACACGAACGGGTAGTCAACTCACGAAGTAGGTGCCTGTGAGAAGTGCGTGGTTCTCTTCGTGGATCGTNTCCCTCCGCTTCCGCTCCACGGACTCTTCGTCCTGAGGATGATTGTGAGCATGGCACGAACATGACCACGCACGCGAGTGAATGGAGACTCCACTTGCATTCTTAGTGGCCACGAATTCCTCGCTTTGTGCTTCTTCCAACGTTCAAACGGTAGGATGGTTGTCATCGGGAGTTCTGTTTGGACAAACAAACGCTCCAAGTCTCCTCGATCGGTGGCATGAAGCCGTGCTGTTCATGGTATTTATGCATAGCTACAGCACTAGACGCCACACGACAAAGCCCGCAACCAAGCTTAGCCGCCAGAAAACTAGGCCAAGGCTTGGCAATTGTGGAGAAATAGATTCGATCACACACGAACGGGTAGTCAACTCACGAAGTAGGTGCCTGTGAGAAGTGCGTGGTTCTCTTCGTGGATCGTCAACATGTCGCGAGCCTGGAGGTGCACGGAGGGACAAACGCCCTAAGGTCAACAAGCGTGCACGCGATGGAGAGGACAGGTGTCTCGCAAGAAGTGGAAGCAGTGTCACCCACAATAGCAGGGACAAATACACCAACGGCATGGAACCCTTCTTCGTACCTCCCTCAAAGCGATCCTCATGTCGGCGACAAGAGTCTCCTGCAGATCCGGCGCCTCTTCAGCTTGTGCCACTGCGGTTTGCGCTTTCTCCAAGCTCTCATGCGCGGCTGTAACGATATCGGCAAAGGCAGCAACGGCTAGGGCATGCGCTCCGGCGGCAGTGTCGGAGGACAACGACACAAAATGGTTGAGCTCCGGCAGAACGCCGCCGTTCCGGTCCCGCCAACCAGGCGCGTCGTTGAAGTTAGGGCGGTAGTCCGCACTGGACAATATCGTCATAACCACATGAACTGCTGGGTGCGTACGCCCAGGCCGAACGGTGAACAGCGGTTGGAACAGGATGCGTGTCCACGAAGCTCCGTATGTAGGCGTAAAGCTGTGGTCTGCGGTACAAAGGGCCATCGGGAAGTAGAAGCCGGGAGAGCCCTGCGTGACACTGCTGCTGACACGCACACATTTCCCGCCCCTAGGACCTCCACGAGCATAACGGGCAAAATCGGAGATAATCACGCGTGTCAAACGACGTGCGTCATACACATCAACAATGGGCCCATCACAACGTCAAGATACCAAGGCTCACCCGACAAGACTGTGACATACATGATTGGTTGCGGTAGGACAGGCACAAGACACCACAAAGGCCACACAGGAACCACTGCAGACAATTGCGACAAATAACTCCGTAGTTTGACTACCACAGAATGGCCCTCTTCCCAAACCTACACACTGGACACATCGGGTGACTTCCCGCGTCTGGTGTGACCTTGAAAACAGTATCATGTCCGAGTTCATGGCACTGGCGAACGATAGAGGGCGTTATCTATGTAGTAGACGGTTAACGATGGAGAGATGACCCTTACACGGAATGAAACCTCGGAGGGGCGCCTGGATGACAGTCGCCAGCAACGGGAAGGCGAACTGCTGCAGCCAGTTACCATTCCCGGCAACGTGCTTGAGCTGCGCAACGAACATCAGCCGGGCACAATTACGAGACCCCAGTCGGTGCTTGTTGTGCGCGTCTGCCTCGATGGTTCACCCCAGCTTAGGCAGGCCTTCTCGCACTTCATCCCCGTAGTTGGACCAACACATGAAGAAATCCTCTTGACAAGAGAGGTATGCCTCCGTGTGCCGCATACCCTCGAGGGTTACGCTCAGTCGTAGCTTCGACGCCAAGGATTTAATCTCGTTCCTCATTCCATGTTTTTTTTCGCGAATAGCTGGGCCACGGCGTTCAACAGGCAGTTGCCGTCACCCGCGGTGATGAAGGGCGTCCCGGCGCCTAACTCATCTACGGGCTGTACCCCTCGAAGAAGAGCTGCCGTGAAGTAGTCTTTGCTAAGTTCCTTGTCTAGTAGTTCCTTCTGCGTCTGCGCCAAACGTATCGGAAAGGAGTTCGCATTGACATTGAATCCATTAGGTCCTGCAGGTTTGAACAGCACACTTGGAAATCAAAGAAGAAACCTCCACTGCAGGACCGAGGTCCGATTCGGTGGATGAACTGCTCGATACAGAGACTGAATATGAGTTAGTTTTGGTACACAACCGACTCAAAGTGTGTGCCGGAATTTTACAAAATTAAGGAGGTTATCCATTATTGGGCGTGCCACGGCAGCGTAGTGACCTGCCATGGCACTGCCACGGCAGTACGGTTGCACGCCCAGCAATGGAAATGGANCACTTGGAAATCAAAGAAGAAACCTCCACTGCAGGACCGAGGTCCGATTCGGTGGATGAACTGCTCGATACAGAGACTGAATATGAGTTAGTTTTGGTACACAACCGACTCAAAGTGTGTGCCGGAATTTTACAAAATTAAGGAGGTTATCCATTATTGGGCGTGCCACGGCAGCGTAGTGACCTGCCATGGCACTGCCACGGCAGTACGGTTGCACGCCCAGCAATGGAAATGGAAAAAAACACCGAAAATGAGTTCGAAATTATTTTCAACAGAAACGGAAATGTATGGACGAAAAACCTTCCGTGAACCTGTGGAGATACAATCTTTGTGCTGGTGTAGCTAGGTGTTATGTGACACAAAATATTGCTCCGTCAAGTATCGATGATCGGGAAGATGATTTGACTGGCGTAACGGCATTCGCCACCTAAATGATTCCGGTCGCATGTTTGGAATCGATCTTCATGCTGTAGGTGCAATATACCCGGGAATGTCCTCACGAAACTTGGTCATTTCTCGAACGATGCATAGCTGCGAAAGCGTAGTGTCGGGTGCGAACAACATTCAAGTAAAACTCAACAAGACCAGCAGAGACGACCGTGGTCAAGCCATCTTATTCCTTCTCGTGATGAAGCCACATGCTGTACGGTCCCATTGTTTGTGTATCATTGGCCTCGCCGTAAGGTGAACCGCCACAAGGAATTCGACGTGGCGCAGCGAATTCCCACCCCCAGAAAAAAGAAACGATATCATGCCTCGCACGTCGCCTGACCCCGTGGCGACCCACCCTGGCTATGTCCGAATGCTCACGAGATTTGGTGGCCCGGATGCACGATAGCGTATCCCTGTCGTTTTTCTATTTTGTCATGTTTTTCTGTGTAGTGAGACATCCCAGGCACCAGGCGGATCAAAGATGAAAGAGGGAATGAAGCGAGTCCATGAAACCAACATAAGGCGCGGGCTCATGGCGATCAAGAGGGGCAACACAAAACGACACTCGGCGCTTCCTACAGTAGTGCCCCACAGCTGGTCATCGCCAATCAGTGCTGCACGCCACCGCCGAGATACAGACTGGGGTCCCTCCGAGGCAGCGCTCGCCGGTGTGCTTAAATGTGGAGGAACTCTATTGAGTCCTCCGGTTTGGGGTTTTCTAGGCGGGCGCGGCGGCACGATCCCCAACGGCTGAGCTGTGCCATTCCGTTTCGAGGTGAAATTGCACGCAGGGTGTGAATCGTACCAGTTCTGTACTGATATTATGTACATCCTAGGGTCACGGATGTCAGGAAAAAATCGTACGTCGAGACCACCAGTAGTCGGACACGGTTTGACCGTTGAATACGATTGCAGCAACCAGTCTGTGTAGCAGTAGAAAATAATCTATCTCTCCGTGGCATGTATTGTTCTAGAAATATTCCGGAAGCATGCTTGGTCAAGGTCGACCGGGACATCTACGTAGAACGTGTGTAGCTTCTGGAAACCTTCTGGGACCTTCTGGAACCTTCGGTAAGCTTCTGTAAGCGTTCCAGACCTAGGTTGTTTGATGACGAGGATGAGTTTACAGCGCTGTTCGACGAGCCAAAGGTGGGTCAGAGTGACAAACGCTTTGGCTTACTTCGGGTTTGATCCAGATCCACTCACGAAGAAGGTTGTTGGTCGACATGGAAAATTGGGAAGCGGATAGATATTGTGAACACTGCATGGAAGGGATATACGTTTCGTGGACAGCTTCTCTTCGGGTGACATCGAGGGGAAATAGCTCATAGCCGCATCACTCAGTACACACCATCTTGAGGCTGTGTTTGCATGGGATAACAAGCCGGCTTCAAAGCTGTAATCTGGCAGGAATACACGCACATGTCCATCCTCGCGCAAACGTAGACATTTGAATACCACGCGGCGTCAGGTGTAGCAAAAAGTGTTTGGATTGGAAGCCTCAAAATTCGAGGCGCGTTTGTAGTGCCTATTGCCTTGAGGGCGTCGGGCGATACCGCGCGATGCGTATCATGGAACGGCAACGCCATCCCGTTCCTGGCTCACATGTGCGTTTGAACCCCGTAAGGTGACTGCGGCAGCTGAACCGTTTGCTATACTCGGCGAAAGGCGTTCGCTGCAGTAGCACACAGCATCAGCGAGCCTTTCGGCAATTCTTTGAACCGCGGACGGGTGTTTTGCATCCAAAAAATATTGTTCGAACCTCGCGAAGCCGATGAAAGCCTATTGAATCTACACTTCGAAAACTCCCCAAGTGGTTCGAATGTTGGCTCCGACCACAACCCACCCGCAAGACTGCACACGAAACCCTGTTGGTGTCAACCCCATTTCGCGGCGATGAGGTGGACATGTGCGTTCACTTCTTGGAGCTCCGGCAGGTGCCTACAGAAGAGGCAGGTAGACGGAAGATCAGATCAGTGCATGTTTGCTCGCGCTTTGCAGAAACAAAGAGCACCCTTGCTGCGCGAACAGAGAAGCGCCTTTTCGCGTACAAACTACGCAGCGTCGCCTTGCTCATCTGCCGATATCGAACGTTGATCCTCCGGTGACATGCAAGAGCGAGAGTTCCTCACATAGAAAAAAATGAGCTCGACACAGGCCATCTTCGTGCTATTCGACAACGGAAAGAAGTAGAGATTAGCTCTCTCTACGGTCTGACCTGCATTTCGCCAATCTACAACAACCTCTTCGCATCACAGGTTCGTGCCGAAGAGATCGAGCACACACCCCGGGAGTATCGGGCGATGCAATTGCTCGTTAACATGTCCGTCTATGTCGGCGACTGGCATGATGGGTTCAATTCCCTGGTCCGCTCGCTCTTGATCCACATCTCCTGGAAATGGGCGATCGCCCTCGACCATCAGCTACAGGACGCTGGAGCGAAGCACCCCCACGAGAGCAGCATCACGTCCCTGAAAGCAAAACAATGCGCGTGCTACATGTACGGCGTGCTATGCTTTGGCGGGAGCGCTCCGCTCTCCGCAGCCGACACGGCCAATCTATGCGAGCTACCTGTCCCAGCGCACAACCGCCGCGTGTTCACGGAGGAATGCGCGCTAGAGGAGGAAAGCTCGTCGCTGTGGATTCGGTGTCTCGATGTGGTCGCTGGGCGGGTTCGTGAGATCGTGCAACAGGCTCGCATCGACCCAGCCTTCATCACGGCCGCCATCCGACCCGTTCTTGATGAAACTCCGAAGCAACTTTCATGGGTGCCGGTGGCCGAGGCGGTAGCCTGTTTCGAGGCCGTACATGAAGGCCACCTCTTCAGCGTCAACCTACTGGCCGGTGTGGTTCTGTACGACGGTGTTCCTCCCAGCTTGCTGCCACTTCACATCGTGGACGATGGCTACTATCGGCGGCTGTTCGGCGCGGCCAACTTTGAGGTCGCCAAGGCTTCAAACGGGGTATTCAGAACCACGCGAGCAATCAGCCGTCGCTTCTACGAGTTCTCACTTGCGGGTGGTGATATGGTCATCGAGGAGATCGACGAGTGCCGGGGAGAACGCCTGCAGCTCCTCCGGCATGATGGGGCTTGGAGGAAGGAGATGCCTGTGCGGCTTCGAAGTATGCACAGCCAATGGCTTTGTCGGGAGCAACAGGCTGTGGTGATTCGCTCGAAGATCTTCAGGGAACGCGGCGTGGCCTACATCACGCAGTTCAGCGACTCTGGCGGTTCTGTGTCGTGTTACTGTGTGCCTCCTCACCTTGGTGCCCGTGGGTGTAGGGAGCTGCTCAAGGGGATGGAAGACAATGAGCTCGGTTCTAGAGGGCGGCTGGTGCTCTTCCAGAAGGCCAGCAAGCTGATGTCCAGTCTGGCCAAGTTCGAGCCTCGGGCGACTGGTCCCAATTCTTTGATCCACGCGTATCTCCAACCGAGCGGAGGATTGACGATCGAGCTACCGCGATTCGAACTCGAGTTTGAGGTTGACCCTCCTTCAGCCCGGCAGCAAGGAGAACATGGGGGGAGCGGAATCCGGTGCCTAAGCCACCGCGGTTACCAGCTGGCTCGTGCTCAACAGTTTGACGACACTCTCCCAGGTCTCACACGCTACCTTGTTCTCACCGGCCAAGATGGAGAAACGAGGGTGCTCGTGCCACGTGGGGCGGTACGTGTGACCGAGGCTGCGCCCTCACGCGTGCAAGTCGAGTGCCCAGAGGAAGATTGCGAGGCCGCCGAGCAGAAAGTCCTAATCTACAGCGTGCACCGGCGACGGAGGCAGCCGGATGCTGGTGACGTATCCGCCCGCCTCCAGCTGGCGACAATGTTCGCCGCGACCGGGACGTCGCTGTCTGACACCCGCGCTGGCATGACCGGTGCTGAGAAAGCCTCGGAGCTCGTGCGCCTATGCTTCGTCAACCACCCTCTACCGGATGATGACCAAGACCGACTGCTCAGAGTGTTGGAGTTATCCGGAGAGAACCCGTCGCTGGCTCTTCTTTATGGCGATCTACTCGAGAGCAGCACATGCCAAAGCTTCCTGCACAGCGTAGTACATTCGTCGACATTGCCTCGGGAAGCTTCTACCGCTTTGGAGCACGCAGAGATTGTCTACGAGTGGGAATCTGGGCATCTTCCGTGGAACCGCCGTCG